TTTGTCCGGAAACGACTGTTACTTTTGATTTTTAAATGAGACACATTTTTACTTATTTTGATTGAGAATGACTTTCTGAACTCAAAACCGCCTCACTTTTAAATATTTTGCAAACAAAGATTTTTTTATTGCAATTCTTATTTTTCGATCTAGAATGCTATGGATCCTGTAAATCGCTTTATTTTTGATCAACCAACACGGAAGAAATACAATTTTGAGGCGAATGACCTCACAGTCATTTGAAAGATTTTCTAGAAGTTAAAAATATTAATTCTTTCAGTTTTAAAATAGCGCATCCACTTTTTCTCGTCAATTCTGGAAATTACATATTACAAATTTGATGAATTTTAAAGATGAGAGAGGTACAAAATAATTACATTCACTGTACAATATCGAATTACAAGTCATATACATGCTCACAGTAATTACACACAACGTGGGCGCGGGGATGATTTCCCGCAATTCTCCTCAAAGTTTTTCGTAATTTATAGCTTTGAACATAACCTGTCTTCAAAAAGGACAACATATAAATAACCCGTCGGGACCAGCTGATAGATATACTTCATTAGCAGCATATTCAGTAATGATTTTCTCACACAGCAAATATCATTGATTTTATACACATGAAGAACAATACACATACTCATCCAGATGCTATCTTGAGATTCAACCAACTCTCTTCTCAGAGATAAAACTACAGACCACTCGGCTTCACAAAACATATGCAACAAACAATGCGTGTAGTTTAGTTGAGTGATGCCTCCATAGATAGACGTTCACAACGATCCTTGTGAGCAAAGGTGGAATGACTGTTTGCGCCCTAAAAACTATCTAGTCTGCAAGATTACATCTTATAGGTTTTTTACGTTTTATATGTTTTTTACATAATACTCGTGCCGATCTTATTATTTCTAACGGTTTTACGATATAAAATAATTACATTTCCAACTTGACGTTCCGTCCACATATAGGAGATTTTTTTCTACCAGCGTGCGGAAAGTACTCACTTTCAACACGCATCTGCGTGCAGAAAGTAGCACTTTTCCACACGCATAACAGTGCTAATTTCCGCATGCAGATGTTTGTTGAAAGTGAGTACTTTCCGCACGCTGACACAAAACATTCGTGTAACTGCCGTCGCGTACGAAAAAGTATCACTTTCCGCGCTTGTTAGGTAAATAATTATTAATCCCGATTCCAACTATGTATTGACATATGTATAGTGCTTTTATTTCATTTAACTTTTCTTTATAAAAGATTCCTCAAAAATTCGATTTGTTCAAAAACTGTACCACCGAGTCAAATGAAATCACAATGGGAAAAACTGTGTCTCTGGAACTTTTACAGTAGCTATTTTTGAAGGGCGAGACTTGTTTCAGGAAAAAATAAATAAACCATAATAAAGCGCAAGAGTACTAGCAGAAGAAAAGTAAAAACACAAACGCGGTTTATCATTATTGCTTGTTATCTATATCGAATTTTAGTCGACTTGGCATTTCCAAACAAATCGAACTTTGGCAACCAGAATTACGCGCATTCGGAAAAATGCAAAAACTAGCTTTTAAACAATTGAGTTTAGGGGCATCGTCGCTTAAGCAAAAAAATTGACCACTATAAACGACCTACCCTGTTTGACGCTTTGTTAGTATAAGACTTATTTAGGAAAATCTAATCTTCTGTGCTATCATATTGATATCGGATACATTCGCAGATGCAAAGACCAAAGTTAAAGAAAATACTTTTTACTTTTTAGAATGGTTGGTAACCTTTCGACTTTTCATTAACTCAGTTAAGCCATTCTAAAAAAAAAATATGTTTCTCACGAGGAAGCATTTCCGGGATCTCTGCCTAATTAAGTTTTAATCCTTGAAGCTGCTGCACCGTTTGCCAAAACCTAGCAAGTAGTGTAGTAAGGAGGCGATTAATTACGCAGATTCATTACTCGAACCTAGTCAAAACACAACAAATGGCGCACATCAAAACTTTGATTATAAAACTTTCATGTTGTACTCAAGCGCCCCTGAAGATAATCCCTTCTCCCCCCTCTACCCTCAGCTGTTTTGTCTTTCCCCCACCCGAAATATTTCTCCACTTATTATCTGGCAGGAAATAGAGCGAGACATGTCAGCGAAACGTTGTGTAGACAGGAAGATAATTAATGCCCCGATCCTCTTCAGCGTGATAGGCCAAGAGAATGAACTTGAAGATGATTAAGTTGATCACCGCTTTTACTTCCTACCGCAACTGGCGAGGAAGAATTATTATCGCGAAGAATTTAGAAATTGAGATATTATGCTTTTGAATGTTATACCATATGACATGGACATCACCAAGAACCTTGTGACTCGTTTCTGTCTGTCTGTCTGCATATCTGTTCGTCGGCTAATCCTCGACCACTCTATAACTTGGAAACTACCTCTATCGAATCTGATGAAATTTTTTCACACAAGGTTACTGCTGTTTTTTTTTTAAACAGAAGCAGCCACGCAAGCAGAAGCCTTAATGCCAGGACACCGCGGCTACTATGAGGATCCCAAAGAAATTTTGTTAATCCGATTTTTGAGTTGCCTAAGTTTAGTAGAGCCAGGAAAACCTTCCTCCTGTAGATTGTTCCACGATCATGACACCCTCTGGACAAAGGAGCGGTCGTATCGGCCAGTTCTCGATGTACGAAGCTTGACGGATGGGGGGGCCAAAGTCTGGCGGGTCTGTCTGGCAGTCACATCGCGAGGCGGCATCATGGAAGAGAGCGCTACCGCTATTGACGAGATGTGTTCGTGCAGTGTCGGTGCCGAGACCGATCCCTGGTTAACACCCGCTTTGACATTGTGGGATGGAGAGGAGAACCCATCAATTACGACGGATATCTTACGGCCAGAGAGAAAGTCAGCCACCCATCTGCATGGCTATTCGGTAAGGCCATACGATGAAAGTTTGCATAAGAGGGCAGCATGCTGACCGAACGCTTTCGTGATATCAAGAGCTACGACATGATCCTCACCTTAGGACTGGATTAGTTTACAACACAATTGCGTGACGTGAGCTAGGAGGTCCACTGTGGGTCGGTGGTGCCGAAAACCATACTGCCTGTCGCTAATCAAGCCGTGACGTTCGAGGTAGTTCAGAAGCTCGCGATGTATGCACCTCTCCATCACCTTACTTATAACCGAAAGCGGAGCTATAGGCCTGTAGTGGTAAAGGTCAGTCTTAGATCCTGTTTTGGGATAGGCTGGATATGAGCAAATTTACCGTTTTCTGGAAAGGTGCCGGATTCATAAGATATCTGAAAGAGATACGAAAGAACTAAAGTAAGCTCCGCTGCACACCTATTCAGTACAGTGGCATGAATCAGGTCCGGACCAGAAGCTTTGTTGAGCACCCGTTATACGGACTTATGCCTGAACGTTACTTCCCGCATAGTATAGGGAACCCTTTGAATCGACGGCGCTTGGTGGAGTTGGGAGCAAAGGTCTTGGCAAGCACTTCCGCTTTGGCCTTTGAGTCTATTACAATCGTCCCCTCCTAACACGTAAGTCGTGGAAGCTTACTTTGCGAGAAGTTCCTGTCAATATTCTTAGCCAGCGTCCAGAAAGACCGACTGCCGTGGCGCTGCGACATGACCCTGTGCCTAACTTTTATATCGTGCTGGCCCCTGACATTGCGAACCACTTCGTTATATTAGTTTCTGGGCTCGACGTCGGCTTGTCTGTTCTCTACAGTGGGGTTTTGTAAGAAGGTTGTGTGTGCCTTGATCTTCAGCTGGCGAGCAGTGTCACATGATTTGAGGAACCAGCCGTAGGAGATTTAGGCTCTTTCACTGCATAGGGGATGTATTCCTCCATCCCGTCGTAGATAATTTCGGTTATCGAAGAACAGACAGCCGAAACGTCCGCGTCAGCGAAACAAACATGTCTGCAAGGTAGAGACGCCTCCTAGTCGGCATGTCCGTAATGCCAAATTTTGCGGCCTGGGCGAGCTTCTGCTGCCACAGCGGGTTCTGACCGAAACCTAACCTCCGCAGCACCGTGGTACGAGTTGCCCGGGGAGGACAGGACAGCAGTGCAGTATGGGACAGGGCGCGTGGTTAGATAGAGATCCAGCAGGCTATTGGGATGTGACGAGACGCGAGGGGAAAAGGTAGAGCTCGTCATCAGCTGGGTCTGCCTGAGTAAGAGCGAATGCTGCAACTGAACAATATGCTGCATTGGCCTTGTTTGAGCCCAACAAAAGCACATTATGGGCATTGAAATCACCACAGAGAACCACCTGTGAGGCGGGGTGAGTGATTTTCAGGAAGTCGATCTTGACGGCGAGATATTCAAGTAAATCGTCCCAGTTTTGGTCCGAGGGAGATCGATAAAGGGAGCAAATAAATTTGGGGTATGTTTTGAAGTTAGGTCGGAGCCTCAGGCGGCGTCCTCATTGGCAGCGATCGTACGATGGCGCGATGCGTTTTTCGTCGAACGATCAAGGTGGTCGTGCGATGACCCAACAGGTGTCCTAATAAATCGCGCGATGTCCATCGTGCGACCCCGTCGTACGATGGTATCGCACCATCACATGCTTTTTTAATAATGGCTCTTTACAGAGAGGCACAGTTTTTGCTGTCGGGCAATACTGATTTGAAGATTGCAAATGACATTGAAAAAAAGAAACGTAGACCACACAGTAAACTGTATAGATCCAGGAATATGCGCGATGAATTTGTCAACCATTATTTTGATGTACGAAATAACGAAGAAGACTTTTACAATTATTTGTCCATGTCAAAAGAAACATTTGACTACATCTGCAATGGAATACGTAGCGATTGCAATAAAAGAGTGACCAACTTTAAAAAACCCATTAGTGATTGGTATTAACAATCAGGTAAGTTTTTATTTATATTATATGTGTTACGTAGGCCGATTTGAATTTGCCATGTCACTAAATAGTCTTATAATTTTTAAATGAAACACAAAAAAGTATGTATTCATTATATTTATTTTGTACATTTCATTCTGTACGTAGTGATTTCGTCGGTTTAATGCGCAACAGAGTACCTAAAAGACTACTTATGCCAGCAAAATTACGTCGAATTTTAAATTCTAGTTTAGTAGTTAGTGTCGATACACGTTTCGTAGAATTGTCGGGTCTGTGTCGGTGATGTCAATGATGAGGATGCGTGCACTGGTGGAGGTATGATTGGCATTGAAGAGTTGGAAGAGGGTGATGGCATAGCTAGAGCGTTCACTGGTTGACTGATTGACATTGACATAGTAGATGAAGAGTTGGAAGGGGGCGATGGCATAGCTAGAGGAATTTAGTCTGCTATTGTATTCTGTAATTTACTTTTTAATCTTAATTTTTGTACTGGATTCAAATATTTAAAATATGGAGCTAGCGGTTTCAAAAATAGGATATCTTCATCCTCAGCTTCTTTGTCTTTCTCTTTAAACACTTTAATTTTGTCTTCTTCGATTTGGATGATTCGACGCTGATATTCGTTTAAATTTGATTGATTTTCTTTGCGTTTTCTTTGCTGAGACCCAGTTTGTGATACACTATCCAAAGCTTCTGTGGACGTTCTCTGTGTAATTGACGAAGCACTAGTAGACAGTTGTTCATTATCAGAAGTTACAAAATCGGATCTATTAGACAATGCAGTAGAATTTTCTTCGTCAGGCAACTGAAGATTCTGCTCTGATCTTGAAGTGGTTGGTAGGCTGGCATCATTATCATTATTTCCAATTTCTTGATGAACACTATTACATTCGGTTAGTCAAGGCATTGAAATATCTTTTAAAAATAACATATTTTGGTAATAGGTCCACTTTCCCGAGTAATGTTGTTCATTTGGGCTTCCTGGATCTCCAGAGGTGGTTTACGAACTTTCTTCAATTCTTTTAGAAAGATGTCCCTTAAGTGTTGCCACCTAGTTTTAACTTGTTTTTCTGTAATAAAAAACAATATCTTTTAATTCAACGTGTTATAAATTACAGGTACTTAACAACAGGAACACCTTTTTGGAAGTTAGCAGTGCCATTTCGCATTTCAAAAATCGCAATTGCAAGTATCATGATGAAGGTTTGCAGTGCAATTTGGAATACTTTTAACAAAATACACATGAAATTTCCAAGTATCCAAGATTTCCAGGAAATAGCAAATTTATTTTCAAATAAAAATAAATTTCCACATTGCTGTGGAAATCTGGACGGAAAACACATTCGTGTCGTAAATCCACAACTTTCTGGAAGCATGTATTTTAACTACAAACAATATTACTCAATTGTTTTATTAGCGATCTCCGATTCAGATAACACATTTCGCATCATTGACGTAGGTGCATACGGGAAAGATAGTGTTGGAGGCGTTCTCAACAATTCTCATTTTTTTCAAGAACTTAACAGTGGAGATATTCAAATAATCACCTTAGGAACGATTACCTAATAGTAATATTATGGCACCATATGCATTTTTAGGGGACGAGGCTTTTCCTCTGAAAACATTCTTAATGAGGCCTTATCCAAGATAACAAGCAACAGAGAATGCAGATAAATCAAGATTTAATTACAAATTGTCTACTACAAGGGTAGGGATAGAATGTACCTTTGGAATCACTGCTAGTAAATTTAGAATTCTTATAAAAAGCATCGAAACATCTATTGATAATGCAATTAAAATTGTGAAGGCTGTCTGTCTGTTGCACAATATTGTAATACACAGAGATGCAAGAGAACCGCAATTATCTATGACAACAAATCAATTCAATAACAATTTTGAAAGACTTGCACGTAATAGAGTTAATAATCGTGCTACAATAACAGCGATTAACGCTAGAGAACTATTCACCACTTATTTTTCAGACATGAATCCTAATTAATGTCTCTATATTGTATTATACCTCTTGCTATTAACTCTCGTTCTGATTAAAACTAAGCTTACATTACTATCTACTTACTGGTTTTATTTACGTTCCTCGCAATTATATCCCATGCTTTTTCACTTTTCAACCTGTTTTTATAGTCCTCACTCTTCTTATTCCAAACAACAGGATGTAAACGTACTTGGTTAATTAAATCTTCTTCGAATGTCATCTTGTATGTAATAGAATAGCCAAACGCTTCACACAAACAATGGATACACAAAATGCCGTCCGGCCGCCAGCGAGTCGAGTGCTGGTGTCACTGGTGTTGGGCCCTCCTCGTCTCTCTCGTCCCGTGCCAGCCGTACTACTCGCGTTGCTGTGTTCGCGCGGAGATTTTCATGATCGCACGATCAAACTCATCGTACGATCGTTATTAAGCATTTCATGTGCTAGCACAATGACTTGCGAAGCTCAAATAGGACACTCTTGAATGTTTGAACTCGTCGCACGACGAGAACGCATCGCGCCATCGTACGATCGCTGCCAATTAGGACGCCGCCTCAGAACGTTTATTCCCATCTGACTCCAAAGAAGCATCTCTGGAGCAGGAAAGACTGCTGTGGGCAAATGCCACAACTCTCCCGTTCCTTCTCAGATTGTAGTGCACCTCGTAATTTGGGAAGCTAAGATGGTTAATCGTTCCAGACTCTGAGATTTTTGCCTCCGCCACGAAAAGCATGGCGGGACGATTGCATTGCAGGTAGCGATGAACAACATCAATGTTGCTGTTAATCCCGCAGGCCTTCTTGAAACAAATTTTATCTTCGATGATGTTCCCTCGAATCCACCCTCCACCCTGACATTCCGAGAATGGAGTGAGTTACGTCCGGAATTCTTGATTTTCCAGAGTTCCATTATCAGTATTTTTTTTGTCATTGGAAGAAAAGCTTTGTAGTTTTCGAAAATCGGTCCAGTGGCGGCGGAGTTTAGGACAAAGCACGAAAAAAAAAATAAACAAATAAAAATCGCCCAAACTTGTCTTTTTGACGTTTCAGAGGCTTCTTATCATTTTCGAATGTTTTTTTTTTGTAGAAGCTGAAGGTTGGGGGTTGGAGGTTGTATGAGGTTGGGGGTTCTAAAAGTCACATCTTTTGTATCAGTCAAAGACGTTCTATCAATAAGATTGATCCTGGTAGCACCGGAAAAAGTAGTGTGCTCATAATTCGAAATATATAACTTTCAGTCGGGGTAGCGTGCAATAGTTGTGAGTTTTTGCATATTTGGTGTCAGTGAAAGACATCATCTATTGTTAAGCTGCTGGTCTCGGCGACACTATGCACCAGTTAGACATAAGTCACTACTCAAATTTTCCATACATCTGCCATGGAACCCAATACGAGCCCCTTCCCACTTCAGTTGGCCCACTTCAAGATTTGTACCAAAACATGCCTTTATAAACTAAACATGACGAAACTATTTGCTTCTAAAACAATTTATTTTCTCAACAACATTTTAGATTCACTAGTCGTAAAAAATACCTATTTGACCTATAACTAATAGAACATCTGAACAAATAAACAATATGCGAATAAATGCGCGAAGTTAACAAAGCAACAATTGAAAGATTACGATTGGGTAACATCACCTTTATCTTTAATTACGGCTATGATTGCCAAATATTTGTTTGTATCCACATTTACATCAATAAAATGAAGTTTTCCTACTCCTTTTGATGACATACTGCCCCAGACCATAATGGATGCTGGAAATTTCACTTTTGTCTTCAGACAGTCAACATGGAATGCTTCATTTTTTTCGAATAACTCTACTGCGACTGTCACCAACACAACTTCGAATCGGGCCTCATCACTCCATTGTATTGCACACCATTGTTGAGGTGCTCATTGTCTATGTTCTTTAGCCCATCTAAGCCGATTTTTCTTTTGCAGTGGAGTTAATAGTGGCTTTTCTTTGGCCTATAAACAAGTTGTGCAACTTTAGGGTTTTTACTTCACCTTTTTTTATAAGAAAACTTACCTTGCAATTGCTAAATCCCAGTTTGTGGGCCTCTCTATGAGCTGTGTACCTCGAAATTCTCCTTCCAACAGCGTCACTCCACAGAGCACTTAATTGTAAATAATTGGCACGCCTGTTTTTCACGATTATTCTTCTTAATGCTCTTCGGTCGGCATTTGTGATATTACTTTTTTTCACATATCGTGGCTTAATATTAACTGAACCAGTTACGTTATATCTTCTAACAATATTTCTCACACTGTACCGCGATAAGTCTAACAAAGTTGCAATTTCTGAGTTTGATTTCCCAGAATTAAGAAAACTAATTATCAGTAACCGAATTTTCTCACAGATAACCTTTCCTCTACCCATTTTAAAAACCTTAACTACCCAAAGCTATTTTAAACGTATTCTGACAGCTGTGATTAATAAAAACGATTGTCATGGCTTTTATTTTTCACCGCCACCTATGCGTTATAGACTTATTTTGCATTGAAATGAAAATAGGCTGATATGCTGTAATTGCTAAATGTGTTATTTTTATGCTGCAAATTTGATTAGGGAGTGATAAAGTTGGTGTTTTCTACTATATATTATCAAAATATTTATTTTTAATATTTATATATGTATACAGGGTGACTTCGAGGTTGAGTCATTTATTTTAACAGTGAGTAGATCTGATCAAAAGAAATGTTTTTTTCCTTTACCATTTTTCTGGTAAAATTAAAGTAACAAAGTTATAGCCCTTTGGAAGTTTGAGTACCGCCCTGCCTATTATATGCTCGTGTTTGGCGACAACGGATATAATCCGCCTGACCGGTTCATCGCATCGGAAACAAAAAAGCGAAAGAATTTGAAACGTTTATCACGATGTTTTTCGTCAGTCGATAAATCCTGAGTGAATAGTAGTGTGTTTCGTGGCTCAAACGAAATCAAAAATGGCACATGTTTACGAAAATGCTGAACTTGTGGACATGATTCTTATTTACGGGGGAGGGGCAGTCTTTACAAAATGCTCCCGGATGCATCACGGATTTATGCGAATCGGTTTCCCAATCGAGTGCAACCAACCCCTCGTGCCTTTGTTAATGTAGTGCAAAGGGCTCGTGAATCAGGTGACTTAAGACCTCACAGGTGAGGGCATGCTGCTCCAAGACCGCACGATCAAATACAGGTCCGCACTGAAATACTTGTCGGGAGGATACTTTATTAAACAAGGTAACATTTTTTTTTATTTTTTTTTTTATTTTTACACACATATTTTGGTTTATCTTCCTTCTACAATCATTATCTGAAAATTAATGACTCAACTTCAAAGTCACCCTGTATATATATATATATATATATATATATATTCTTAGCGACTCAGTAGTGTGTTTAAGTCTTTTTCACACTAATATAATATTTACAAACCTATATAAGAATATTCGGTTATAAAGTTAGGTGTTCTGCTTCAGTCATTTTAAATATTGAGGTGATGGTGTATCGGCCGTTTGATTGATTTCCAGATTTTCAGATATACAAATGTCCCCAATCACCAGTTTATTGAGTATCACCTTTTCTTGCACCTACCTTATGTTTAGTTGTTTTGGTTTGGGTGCCACCCCCTCCATTTTTTAAGGGATTTTAACCTCTTCAGCGGTAAGTTTCTTTATACGAGTATAATCTGACTACGTGCATTAATGGATGTCCCGAAGAGGTTTGTCCAATATCCACTTCTTTTTAGTGAGAAGGCAGTGAGGAAAACCACTATTCGCACTCCTCCAGCTTTGTAGTTGTTTCGTAACCGACTTTACTGGACGCTACCCGTTTCCCTTGAGGGTAAAACCCTGATGTGAACAGCTCACTCCATACATTGATTTTTGAGCTGCCATAACTTTTTCTAGAACAAAGGATAACTTTCTGAGGGTATATTATTTTAGTACATGTTTCTCTTTTTTGCCTTTGCTTTACTTTTATTTCAAAAAATGTACATGGTTTGTTGTCAAGCTCGAGTGTTTTCAATGAGCAGTTTTATCTCAGACAGAGAATAGAGAGTAAACTTAAGCAGTCCTTCTCTCTCTAGGGTTTTTTTTACACCGTAAATTTCGCTATAATTTGTAAAACCGTATACCAAGGTAGACGCTTAGCGGAGTTACGTTTTGAAAATCTCCTTATGCGGCATTTATAGACATCTCATTTTTTAACTTGCACCCCAGTGGTGGAACCTTTTTTCTATTTTGGGATATTTTTATTGCGAAAGATAATCTAGTTTAGTTGTTCAATATATTGTGATTTCTTTTAAACATAAGGTTATGTCATTACTTTAGATTCTTTTCTTTTGTGTGGGTGGACAAATTTCCCCTCATCTCGGGGATTTGTGGCTTAATCCGTCTTGAGTCACTAGCGCTCTTAACCCCCCCCCCCTACTCTCCGCTTTATTGAACTAGGGCCTAATATTGCACGCCAAGAGACAGCTGTTTTGCATTGGCTGACCATTAGATTTCATTTTTCTTATTAATTTATCAATGAATTACTTAAAAACAAGGAAAGATGAATCACACCACCATTTCCTTTTGTTTATAAAAAAGGCATGGCAACATCTCTACGTGATTTGTTGCATCTCGCTTGTGGTTCAATAGCAACAATGGGGATAAGCATCGCAGTTGCTACGAACGAAAGCCTATCCAATCAGCAGACACTCCAAAGAAATATTCAGTATGCTTGTAAAGACATTTTAAAAATTGTACGCTTTTCACCATTTGCCCCCTAATGTAACATCTAATACGAGCTACGTTCAGAAAATATATACTCGTATTCCACAGACCTCTCTTCGCCTATAATGAAACTTAGCGCAGCTTCCTGAGCGAGGTTTCAACTTCGCGGAATTATATGAATTCTGTCGGTTGCCACGACGGCAAGGGGCTTATCTCGCCTATTATGACGTCACCGGCTTCCTGAAAGCTACAAGATACAAGATGAAGGTGAACGAAGGGCAAATCAGAAAATCACTTACGCCATGAACGCTTCCTACGTTTCGATGACATTAGGAAGTGGTAAAAATGATGTTCAATTTGAGAACCTAACTAATAGTCTTTACAGACGTCACATCTGTATCGAATATATCCATTCTGTTTTGTACATTGTTCAGACACTTACAAATGGAACATAAGGGAGAATGCAGAAGTTCATTGGTCCTGGAGGTTAGTAAATCGAATAGTAGAATGTTGCTGGTTGCTTATTAACTAAATGACAGAAATGAGAATATTCGGATAATCATACTGGTTGTGAATAACCTTGAGCAAAAGGATTTTCGATTGCATTTTTCTTCTGTGATCTAAACCTAGCTTATCGTGCCTCTTTAATAATGCTTTTTGCGGTAGTATCTATGTATGAATAAATTCTAACTATCCTGTAGGACAGATATTTGAGAAACTTGCATTGTACTTTCTCTAATGAGTCACCAGCCGTGACAGCAGGGAC